ACCATTGAAATCGTCCGAACCATAAAAATAGATTCACTTATTGTTTTAGAAATCTCATAATATTATGGATTTGAATCTCTTATTCACATATCCCAAAAAAAAGAAAAATATAAGTTCGATACTGAAAAGTTTATCTAAGGTAGCATTTGGATGTGTAGATTAGACATTATCTTAAAAAACATATAATGTATTGACACTATTTTAAAATATGTATCAAATATACATCATCCAAATAAAATGAATAGTATATCCCAATTTTATTTCTACAAATAAGATTGCAACCTTATACAAATTGCACCCTGCTTTAAATAATGAAGTTATGACTCAAGGAAATAGAAGGATTGTTGAGATTTCAAAAAGAGAGCGAGAAAGAGAAATGCCGTAGCATTAACACAAAACAAATATACGAGCATCCAAATCAGCCCACAAGGGTTTGTATTGCATAATCCATGTCGTCCACAGTATGCAACATACAGCCTACATCCACACATTTAAACATGTTTTCCGAACAAGATGAGGAAAACAAGAGAGGCTGCATTGGATAGGAAAAATAAGAATTATAATCGTCGGCCAAGAACCGTATCTTAATTAATCATGTATGATTCTTGCAATGACATCCTTTCCTTCCTTTTTTTTTTTTGGTTAGTCATGAGGAAAGCCCTCTACTTTTTTAGGAATTGAATCTAAGATATAGCGTTGCAAATCATGAAGCGCTAACACCAATTAAACCCTGAGAATACATTATGGTACTTCATACTTTAGGTTCTTCATACTTTAGGTTCACTAAAAGAGTCAATTGCACTATCGGAAGAATTGATAGCTTCAGTATTTTTTACCATTGGAATGAGGATAGGGTGGTCTGCGTGTATGAGTAAGGCTCATGGCTCGTAAACAGCTTATCCCAAATATTTGGGGTTGATTACATGAATTCTGTTATGTCATTCTACACTATAAAGGGTAATACCATCAACCAAACCATAAGTCACCATTTTTCTTCTTATTACTTCCATCTATATCCTTTTGAGACGTCACTTTACTTTTTTAGAGCCTTCCGTTTGAACGAAATTGCCACTCTTAAGCACTACTGTATTAGGTCTATACTAAATATAATCACTCATCTAAGTCTATTTTCTCTTATCTTATCGCTTATTGGAGCCACCCCTAAGTTCCCCCATATGTCATATGTCATATGTCATATGTCATATGTCATATGTCATATGTCATATGTATTTATTTCAAATTCTAATGTGTCTTGTCACTCATCTATCTCAATATCTTCATCTTAGCAGCACTCATCTTATTGATATGTTATTTCTTGACCATCAGACTTTCCGTCTCTTAAAGTATAGCAGATCTTACAATCGTTCTAGATAACTTTTTATTTAATTTCATTGGTATGCAACGATCGCATAAAACTCTGGATGTAATCCGAAATGGCGAATCCAAATCCATATTGAAAATTTTATGAAAACTTTTCCTTCTTTTAAAAAAAAGTCAGTATGGGATTACAGTTTTTGACAGCTATGGCTCAAATCTCAATAGAAATTGCAATTTTAGCATGAAAAACTCTTGAATGGATCATCTCAACCTTGATGATTATTAATTTGAAAGGAAATAAATAAATTTGAAGCCCTAAACATAGTGCATCTTATACCAGATTATTCAGAATATCCATTTTCAAGCACTTTAAAAACCCAGTATATTTGCACTATATGGAGTATCAAATTTTATAAGGGAAAATATATAATGAGACTATTTACCTTTGGTATAAGGTAGTCACAATTAATCTTGACTATTGGATGTGAAATTGGGTGGCTACATTTATTTCATTGATTAAGCTTAAAGTTCGAAAGAAAATTTTTCAAACTTTATGATACACCCAAACTATCAAATTTCATATTGAATGGTTATAAGTAATTATGGCATTCCTGTACTAAAGATAAATGGTCTCGTTACATATAATCCCATTTTATAATGCCAAAATGTATATCGATTTTGAAGCCAAGAGTTTTCAGCACCAAAAATGCAATTTTTAGTAGAGGTTGAAGAACAACTTCACATTTTTATTGTGAGCCTTGTGCTAATTGCACCATTTTATTTCCTTACTTTTCCTTTGGGGTGAGGAGATTAGCTACTTGTTTCCCATGTAGTACTTACTATAAACGCTCACGCATTGAAACACCAACACAAAACAAAATTATATAAACCCGTGATTTAAAAACCAACAATCTGTATCGGGAATTGCAGACCCAAATCAGGTTTTGGTCCATAACAAATCTATTCCTTTTTAGAACTGAAAATCCGTCTTGTTCCTATGGACTCGCCCGGTTTTGTTAGAGACCTGGGTGATTTGGACCTGCCATATCAGTTGGCTCCCACACATCATATGTTTATTATTTTTTCCTTTTATATTTTTCAAATCTTATTTTTATGGACCAATTGTCAAACCAAAGAATTGTTCAGATTCACCAATCTAGACTAGTTTTCTAGATGGCTGGTCACCCGGCTGATCCAATTGTTTAAACACCTGATACCAAGACACCAAAAAAACAAAAAGAGAGGAACAACCTCTACGAAGCTAAAAGGTGTGGTTTGTATAAGGTATCAACGTTATACAATCCAATTAAGGCATACCTCCAAAGCTCGTTGAAAGATATATTTCTTTTATGGAAATTTCAATGATGATATAAAAATCTACTTCACATCTAATTATAAAACTTTAGAAACTAAAAAAATGGTATAGATCAAACAGATGAAAATATTGAAAATAGACAATCTAGATAATGTACTACAAGATGTATTATTTTTAAGACTTTAGTTTTCTTTTTTTTTTTAAATCCATTTAGGTCAAGGTCAATATGATCAATTAGAGCATTTTTCAGCATGCGAACAACATTGTCTCAGATGGATTTTTTAGGCGTGCTTTGTTTCTACAAAGTTGCAACCTTATATAAAGCAACTAAGCCAAATGGGGATGATAACATGTCTATGGAGACAATTTAAAATAGAGAATAAAACCAAGTAACAATGTTTATACCAGTGTCTTAAAACGTTGATTATAGCGGTCAATTGGAACACCCATGTATCAAATTTGATTAGCCGAATTGAAGATTTGGATCGACTATACCAGTAAAAATTGAGGAAGTGAGCCACTAACCATTTGATCTAGATTTACCATCTTTTTTGTAGAAGTAAGGTTTCATTAATGTACACCATTCATTATATTTGAACAGTGTAGATTTGACACTACCTTAAAAGACAGAAATTTAAAGGTTGTGGTTTGTATAAAGTTGCAACATTAAACAATCAAATTAAGGTGTACCTCCAAATTATGTCATGAGATGCTTAGGATGGTGGGTGAATCTATTTTTATCTCTAATGGGAAAGGTTTCTATACTTCTCCTACAGCATAGAAGATCTATGCTTCCCCTACCATCTAGCCGTCCAATTTTGATCAAGAGAGTCACTCACCGTTTGATCTTAAATCTAATGTCTCAAAGTAATCTATTTTTAGTTTTTTTTATAAAAATTGTATGAATATAAAATTTGGCCATATTCTCATTTGGACGCATCTATAAAAAATATTAAAAATAATTTTTTGATAAAATATAATGACCAAACTTTCAGAGGTATTTTGATCATTTTATTTTATTCGAAATATTTTTTTTATATTTTTCGCTAGTGCGAGTTTAATAGAGGAATGGACGTACATTTTTTGGTGTTAAAATAGTTTGTAGAAAAACAATTAAAAATAAAATAGTGTAAAGACGTGACATTGTGATTGGGGCAATCTTAGCCCTCCATTCAGAATGGAAGGTTGGATAAGGGGAAATATATAAGTTTTATGTTGTAGGGGAAACATAGAATGCTTGCCCATCTCTAATTATAAACCTTTAAACTCTAAAAGTACTTCAAATCAAATAGATTTATAAATTCATAAAAAAAATTTAAAATGGACATTCCAAATAATGTGTTGCAAGTTATACCATTTTTAAAACTTGAAATCTTTTTATTCTTTGTATCTATACTTATTGATGTCAAGATGATCAATTAGATATTTTTTAACATCAAAACAACCTTTCTTGAAGGATTTTAGAAATGCGCCTTAATTCTACATCCTAAAGTGTTGACTTTAGGATAATTGTTTAGCGCGTCCAAGCCCACACTTGTTACTATGCAAGCTTGGATATCTACGTCATCCACCAAAGACACTATAGATGTACACCATAAATAATAGTCCTCCAAAAAAAAGTACAGTTCAAATATTTCTCCAAAAAAATTCATTTCTAGTTTAAAAAATTTATTTAGTTTTTACATATTAATAATCTACATATTAAAGATTATATATTTCCTAAAAATTACGATTAAATTCCATTTCAAAAATATATTATCAAGAGGCCCGCATTTCTACATATGAATCCGTGGACTCGTAGAAACCGTGCTCGTCAATTTTAAATCGTCAAACAAAATAGCAAGGGTGCGGTTTGTATAGAGCCTAGGCTATAAACCATCAAATTAGAGCCTACCTTCAAATAATATCGAGAAATGTAGTTTCAATACTGGAAATCTTTATGATAGCTTTATAATATATTTTTATATTTATTTATAAAGTTTAAAAGCTTAAAAAATAGTGTAGATCAACATATCTATAAAAACTTGAAATTATTGAAAATTAACGGTCCAAAAATGCGTTATAAAATACACTATTTTAAAACTTGAAATCTATTTTTTTATCATGTCTATACATCTTGATGTCGAGATGATCAATTTAAACATATTTAAGTATCAAAACAGCCTCTTCTAATGAAATTTTTGAGATAGGCTCAAATTTGATTGTTTAAAACCTCGGTTCCATATAAACTTTTTCCAAATAACATAAACACCGAAAATACTCTTTGCAAATCTGGTCATTTCTAGACTGCCTGCGCCGGTCCAAATACGGTGACATGAACCGTGCGATACGCTTTTTAGAACGCTTCGATACAAGCCATCCTTTAAATTCAACTCTAACAGTTCCAAAATAAATTATCTGGGCTCAATGGCGGGAAATGGGCACTGCAACAACAATCGCCTCTTGTTCCACTCACACCAACGCCTCTGCTCAGCGGACATCCTTCAACCTCATGAGGCTCTCTCTCTCTCTCTCTCTCTCTCTCTCTCTCTCTCTCTCTCTCTCTTAAAAATGATCACAATTTTTTAGTTTTTCAGGTGCGAGCAAGGATCGAAGCCACAGTCCTTCCCGCTCTCTAAAAATGATCACAAAGTTTTTAGTTTTTCAGGTAAGAGCAAGGATCGAAGCCACAATCCTCAAATTCCTCCATCTACTGGCTTCTCCGACTCCAACAGTCGCCGATCTTCCACTGGTCAGCCTCTTCTTCTTTCTTTCTCAATGCCTTACACTCACTTTTCCTCAATTTGTTAATGGCATGCATTAAGTTGAGTTCCGTTTCCCTACTTGTTGGATGCTTATTCGTAGCATTTCCTTTCTCCTGCTGTAAATGAATCGGATGCCACTTCCACGTCCTCTACTCATTCACGGTCGTAGCTTTGGTTTTCTAATTATAGTCTTACAATTTCTCTGATTTTGCTTTAGATTATGTAACAGGCAGGTGATAATTTCTAGTTTCTGTATAATCTTATTTTGATTTTGGAAATTTTCTGTTTTGGTATTCTAATTCATACTTCTTCCTATCAGAAAATGAAGAAAAGAAGAAGATTGTGTTTTCTTTGAACTGGATTGTTAATTTCGGTGATTATATGGAAAGTTCTATTCTATGGCCATGATTTAATTCTTTCCGTAAGTGAGCCAATGGAACTGGAACTCTAGCTTATTTTGATTGATGCATGATAATATAGGGAATTCGTTGGACATAAACTGAGATTTTGGGCAGGTAGATAATATAGGGAATTCGTTGGACATAAACTGAGATTTTGGGCAGGTAGAAAGGCCTCTTCACAGATTATAAATAATGAAGTGAATTTTTTTCCATTTTAAGCTCTTCTATTAAATTTTCTGAGAAAATAAATCAATTAAAGTACATCCTGTTCAGAGTTTTCAAGTGTGCCTTATTGTTTTGAGAAATTTGGATGTGACACTTTATGGGACTAGAAGCTAAGCCAAAATGATAGTACTACCATGTGAGTCTAAAGTCTGAACACAAATTTTAGCGATGCCAAGTTTCCATGAAGGAGTTTTAACCCTCAAGCAAACTAAATTGAGCTACCTATTTCTCTCTCTCTGTACTGATGTTTGTTTTGATACTAACGATAATGAGAAAATGAAAGTGACAGCATTACCTAAATAGTGTATCCCACATGCCTGTCTACTGAACGGCCCTGGTTTTCTTGAATATCATTTATTCTTCAAAAATGCTATACATGCCCTTAATTTTGAATTCCTTTGAGAAAGAGCTGCCACATTTGATGGGATTTGAGTCTAAGCATATTATCCATCAAACATGCAAGTGATATTAAGTACTTCTCAATGGTTTGTTTGTATGATTGTTTGTAGAGTTATTTGTTTTGATTTGCTTATGATATTTGTAATAGTTGTGAAGGGTGTCTTGATCACTGTGCTTATGAGTAATGCATAGCATGCACGTATCTCTGACGAATAAAAGATAAATAGCAGTTATAAAGAGTTTGTGGAGAACATGACTGACATAGGTGATTGATGGGGTAAGATGCATCTTATGCTCTCTCCGCCAACTTAAACTGTAACTTTAATGCATTAGTATGGAGAAATCACTGAAACACATTCTATTCATAACTTTCTAAGCTGTAGATTGTAGAACGTGTTTTGGAAGGATAGTCATGAAAAAGAAAGATGAATTATTTTATGTATGGATAATTTTATGGTTATACTAGTTTTGCTACTTCGGTTTTTATAATCTTGATCAAGGAAGCATGGTAATTCACATTATAATATTCATCAAGGAAGCATGGTTGATCTATTTGCTTTTTTGGGTACATAATTCATAGCTATTTTCATGCTTATGCATCCACTGGATAGCAACAACAGGAGATCAGGGTGTAGCCATTTCAGATCTCCTAGGACTACGTTTTCTACTTTGTTTTTTATAATTTTTGTCAAGGAACCATGGTAATTCAGATTATAGTATTCATCAAGGAAGCATGGGTGATCTATTCTATATTGAAGGAGCGTACAAGGTACTACACAAGGGTGCGAAAATTAAAATTTCTCTTCTCATTCACATGTACATTACAGACTTTTCAACTCTCCTTGGAGAAAATACCCTTTCTTTTGCTCTACGAGTTACAATTCCCACTGAAATTCTCAAATACATACAAGACTCTTACGCCCACTTTGTTCAATACATGTCAATTTAAATAAAGAGAAGCTTACAAATCAATTGCTCACTACATTCACTTGGACAATTTGCACTCAATAAGATCTTCACTTGTACATGGTACATGAAGCTGCAACAAACAACCAAAAGGCAAATAAATGAATAAATGCTTGAAAACAACTGATGGGAAATGCTCAAGTTGCCAAAGATTACCTCTTTGGACTGGGTACAACCCTTGTTATCATCCTATTCCAAGAGTACAAGATTGGGGCTAAAAATCTCAATCAAAATGGGCAGCTAAATACCGCACTTCTTTAGTACATCATTTGTAAACAATGATCTCAATCAAGCAAATGGGCCTTAATATCATGACCACATGTGGGAGATTACAATGTGAGAGAGAGAGAATATGTGCACAAGCACCGAACATACAATCGGGGGACATGGTTCACACGTAGCTGTGACCTATTCTGGAGCCACTTTATTATGTCATGCAACCGGGTCTTCAAATGATAAAAAATGAATTTAATGGCCGCTGTGGTGACTCAATCATATGCATAAAATACAGCAGCAAAACTATCGAGTATCAAAGAAATGATGGCCCCAATGGAATGGACCACGTACTAGTTCATGCATATGCTTGGTTCATGGCCGTCATGCATATCATAGGATGATGGTGGGGCACAGGTTTGGTCACTGTTGTGATTAATGCACCCAAATAACTCGCAGCAGCAAGGTTATTACATTAAGGGAAGAACATGGGTTCAACGAATGGTGTTGGAGGCTAGCTTATGGAGCAAGAACACATGAGGCTCAAAACTACAATGAATGAGATGATATTGATCAAAAATAGCTACCATTATGATCAAGATGCTCCAATAACATGCAGCAGCAAAGTTAATAAGTAATAGACCTATTGTTACTGAAAACTCATTCGTCTCTCCACTAGTTGTTTGTACACTAGTTAGTGCTCCTTCGTACATATCTTTTACCAAGTCGATGTTGTGTCTAGAGACTCTTTTCTTTTTCAATACCCACCAAATCAAATCCCTAGATATTCTATCATAAGCTTTTTTTAATCAATAAAGACCATTTGGAGGTCTTTTCTCTTCGCCCTAAACTTCTCAGTTAGTCTCTTAAGTATGAAATAGCCTCCGTTTTTTACCTCCCTGGCATAAAACATAATTGGTTTTCTGATACATTTGTTTCATGCCTTAGTCCTTGCTCAATCACTCTCTCCTATAGCTTCATAATGTGGCTCATAAGTTTGATCTCTCGATAGTTTGCACAATTTTGTAATTCTCATTTGTTCTTGTAAATAGATATCTGAACGCTTGTTTTCTATTTGTCTGATATTTTCTTTGTTCTCAACACCTTGTTGAACAACGTAGTTAGCCAGTCAATGCCAATTTCCCCCTTGCACTTCTAAACCTTGTTGAACAGCTTGGTTAGACAATCCTAGATTCCTTCTAGTGCCTTAGCCTATACAAAGGGAGGTTCAAGGCAAAGCCTATTTAAAATTAAGGTCAATATTCTCCCCCTATCCGGTGGTAAACTGAATATTATGAACAAGAGTTCCTGTAGTGGACCCCAAGATACACTACTATTTGAATTCCTGAAGGTTCCTTGTCCTTTCTAGTGTATCTTAGAGATAGTCCTCTTTGCCCTATCCAAGAGACATGTCTCCTCATAGTTGTTGGGGATGGGAGCAGGATCAGGAGTGGTATTGGTTCGGGATTCTCCGAACAACCTTATAGTGGAAGCTCCCTGGGGTTAGGATCAGCGTTCGTACAATGATCAAGACAACGAATGAGATCCTTAGGTTTATGGGAGCGAGATCCCATGTCAATAGATTCGATGTTTTGACTTGCAGGAATCTAAGCTCCACTATACATAAAAATGAGGCTGTTAAGTAGAGCCAGTACGAGTTCCCTTGGTTAAGGAATCAAAGTTTAAGTATATCATATAACGGAGTTCCTCTTCATTCTAATATCAAGATTCTTAACTATGTTTGACATATGTTTTAAGTCCTAAGTATCACTTAACTATGTAAACTTGTAGTGGGGAGAAGAGGCTAAAGCCGCACTACGATAAAGAAGTATCAACATCTTATCTTGCTACGCTTGAGAGGTTGCACCTAGACTAGAATGAGAGGGGTAGAATACGACAACACATTAGTGATTTTGTAAGTAATAAAGGAGTCTTCTTACTCCAGGCATCACATCAGTGATTATGTCAACTCGTAATGTGCTGAAAGGTGTTGAAGTACGTATAGTTATATTCACAGTGTTAAGCAAAACAAGTTAAATGCTCAATGCTCTGAGTCATTGGTTTGTGTTCTCTACAATGACAGGTTAAGTAGAATGCGATCATACTATGCAGCAAAGTACAAAGGATGGGATTTTCATCCTGATTATCACCTTGAGGATGATGTTGGGGCATTAGAAGCATTACGTGACAGCCTTGATGCTGATTATGAGACGCGTCAGAGCAGTCCATTACTAAGGCATGTCCCTCCCACTAAATCTTCAGGCCCTGACACAACTTTGGTGTGCAGCATTGCCTCGGAGTGCCTAACAAATCAGAATCCTACAGCTCAAGGGTCATCTTCTTTTAATGTAGTATTCTCTGCTTTCTCAAAGGCATGCTCTCCGAAGGGGCAAGAGGACAAGATAAACTACTCCCCCGCTCTCTCTCTCTCTTAGATGTACAAGAAGCTTTTTAGTTTTTAAAGCTTGTAATGAAAGCATATATTCTAATCTCACAACTAAGCCGATTCATCATTGTGATTTAAGAATATAAAACAATAGGACATCATAAATATAAAATTTTAAATAAATTATATATTCTCACAACTAAGAGGGATGGTTTACACAATAGGGCTTATTAAAACAATGGGTCACTCTGGACTATGCCTAGTGCAAATTAAGAATCTAAAATAAAGGGACTGGGTTTTACCATCATGGAACTTATGATTCCTAAATAATGGGAACTTGAGACAATGGCAATCTCTAACCTGGTATCATCTGTTAATGGAAGTAGATCCCACAAACATAGAATCCAAGTTTTTAATGTACCAAAACCTTGAACCATGGTTGATGGGAGCGGGGATCTATTTCAAAATGGAACTGGATTCCACTAATGAATGCAACGTGGCCCCCTTTATTTGGGAGTGAGATCCCAAAATCGAATACCGAAGCCCCTACAAGTTATAGGAATTATGAGATGGGATCGAGGTTCCGGAGCGGGATCGTCACCGTACCCACAAGGTTCCCATAACTATGTATCTCCTCCTGTTGCTTCATTCAAGTGACACCTGGACAACATATTCTACCTCTTGTCATTTACTTCCTTTCCTAAGGTAAAATTATCTCTAGAACTGCCACCTTTGTCAGAGTTCTTTTCCCTTTTAAAGGACTAAAAGGGCAGGGTACTCAAGTACATTGGGAACATATACTCTTTTGGTTCACAGAAAGTTAAGAAAATTGATTCATCTTGATGCTTATAACTAATCTTGGCCCTTATCAGAGTAGGTTCTCACTAAAGTATGTTCTCTCCAAATTAGGTTCTCTGTGTAGTTGGTTCTCACTAAATTAAGCAAAGGTCGGTTTCCATAGAAAAATATTCCTACCAAAGTAGGTCCTTGTAGAAGTGGTCCAAAAACTTGTAGTCTCTCAAAGGTTTTCTCTATCAAATGTGGGTCCTATGGTGGCTAATGATCCGAAATTTCCATGGTTGCTTATTAAATCGAGTCAAAGACAATTGTATTTTACACGGGGAATAACTTGTTCTTTTTATGGAACCTAAGTCTCAGTCAGCTGGAATTTCACAAAGGGCATGCGCGTATCTTGTTTTCAGTCAAGGTATCTTGAGGGCTTAACCAATGCCTCTCTCAGTTGTGCTTAAGAGTTAATATCAAAACCATCTTCCCCTTGGTTATAGGTGAGTACCTTCCATTTCAAAGACATGGGAATCATCAGTCCTTTATCCAGCCTAGGCAAGTCATGAAGGACATAACATCCACCCTTTCACTGTTGGCTGGATATCGGTTTTATGGAGCCACCAAGCATGAGCTATGCTGGTAGGTCCTATAATGCAGGGCCCTGACTATTCCTTGGAATATACCAACAATATATACCATCTTAGCTTGGAGGTCAAATGCTGCATGGAGCTTGTCTGGAATTTATTGCTAATGGTGGGCATTTGGCCAATCAGAGATAACCCTAGATTTGAAATCCTCTTCAGCCAAAAGGAAAAAATGATTATTCTGATCCCTTTCTTCTCCTTAGGAGGTTTTAAGGGCTAATACCTCGTCCCATGCTTTTGTCTTCATTATATGGTTTGCATTTTAGATATTGATCATCAGCCTCATACTTCATGTGCTTCTAGCCTGAATGCATAGTCTTTCCTCCAGTATGCGTGGGTGAAGGGATGTGGCCTAATCTATCATAAATCTTTAGTTTTTTGTTTTAGCTGGATGGTTCAGATTGTCACATTGAATATGATTGTCCGAGCAGCCCTTAGGATGCTGCATATTCAGATGTTCATACTTCAAGCAATATATTTTTATCACTGCATTTGAACTTATACTTTAGAACCTATTAAATCTACATATTTCAACATGCTTGAATTTTTCCTATATTATATTGTTTTAGGTGGCTATTATGTCCCTAGTTGATCTAGTACATTTTTATTATCGATGACCAATATCCGTCATCATCAAAGCCTTTTCCCAACTAATTGGAGTTGGCTATACGAATCTTGGTCCGTCATTCTGCTCTATCAAGGGCCGTACCCTCAGTGAGGCCGTAAGTCCCTATGTTTTTTGTCACTACTTCCAACTATGTCCTTTTGGGCCCACCTTTTTTACTTTTTGAGCATTCCACTTAAACCAACTCGCACCTCCTAACAGGTGTTGCACTGGGTTTGCGACATACATGACTAGCCCACTTAAGTCTACTTTCTCTCATCTTATCGCCTATTGGTGCCGCACCTAAATTGTCCTGAATGTATTCATTTTGAATTCTATCCCTTCTTGTCTTGCAACTCGTCCATCTCAACATCCTCATCTAAACTACACTCATTCTATGGGTATGTTGTTTCTTGACCGCTCAACATTCCGCCCTATGAAGTAAAGTTGGGATGGCCAGTATCATATAGGAGATAAATCTTGCATCAGGTTTATGGGCCATTTATGTACACTACTAGATTTTAAAATACAGAAGTCATTTGCCTAGCAGATATTCTCAATACCATTGGACTAACCTTGCTTCTCTCTCTCTCTCACACACACACACACACACACTCTGGTGATTTAGAGGAGCTGAGCCTATTAAAAGGACACGAGATCTGATTGGTATGTCCCACATAGCCCGACTCGCTGTCGGGTAACGCCAATTACATCAGATCATCTGGTTTCGAATAATTTTTTGAACTAACAAGAGTGAATAGTTTGAAATTTGAGTGCCTGCTGCCTGCTAAAAGATGTTAGTCTTATTCAGAATCTGTCTCTATCGTATTCTACATATCGACCATATAGGTATGATGTATATATCACATATGCAAAAATAGAACTATAATTGTCTTTGCCAATGTTGCTTTATTTGTGGTTCTACAGATTGCTCGAAGGTCAAAGAATGCTAGGTTTCGCCATAGCTTGTTCGGAGATGTTACATCAATTTACCTTTCACAGTCTCTCTGTCGAATATCTCTGATGAAGATCAATGTTGCAAAAACTTTTATTAGAGGTATATCTCACTCAATAAACACTATTGATCTATATTTGTATTACATCTACACCAAGAAACTTTGCCACAAAAGGTCCGGAATCAATTTAACACAATGCATATTGCTTTTGTAAGGAAACGTCATTCCATAAAAACAAAAACTATTGTATGCATCTGGGCAACTTCTTGGGTGCTGTGTTAAGAAGGCCATCTGATGTGCTTATGATAGAGTTCCTTATGTTCTACTTGCTAGACAACTGATGTGCTGTATAAGAGTCATATGATTTGCCTGACGGACTGAATAGCATTTTATTGGGGAGTTGACTTGAACATGCAAAGTGATGGATCTCAGTGTCTAAGACTCCAATTTAGGTTTCCTGTATGGCTTCCTTTTCCCTTTGACATTTCATGGGGATTCCAGCAGTGTCATCAATGCAAGAGTCATGGATACAGATCCACTGACCATTGTGTGAATGATTTAGATAATTAGGCAACACAATGTGGTGGATCATCACATGTAAGCATTAGTATGCAAATCAAACAGCTGTCAGGTTGGGGAAATATGTGAATCATAGATGAAGGTGCTAGGATATGGAGACATCTACCTGGTCATGGGGGGCACTCCTTTGAAGACTCCTTTGACTATAAGTTTTTATAATAGTGCCGTCAAGTTGAATAATCCAGGTTTTTGATTAGTACATGTTGACTGAGAGTGAAATTTGTTAACTTTATGGTAGCATTATGATATTTCATATATTTGAGTGTTTGCAGTTACCATATAATTTGATTGATCATGAGTTTTTGGGTATTTACGTGTGGGGCTCTTATTTCTGAAGCAGCTTTCAATTTTTCACATCCTTTATGGCTCAGGAATTGTTTCTCCATGCAGAAAAACAAAAGAATAACTTGATTTGAATGTCCCACTGCAGTGTGGAAAGTGCTGGAGCTCTGTTTTCAGCTTCTGGTTCACGGCAAACAGGTTACCCAACGGGAGCTATTCTATAAGTTGCTTTCCAGTTCTCCCAAGTACTTTGACTCTCAAGTTCAAGTTAACAAATCTGTCCAAGGTCTTTATTATTTGCCTTTGTCTGTTCAATGCTTTTTTATATATGGAATATACTCTGGTACATACTACATACTGCAAGATATGACTATGCACTATTTCTCCTTAATTTTCTGATTATACTTCTATCCGACCCCCTTGATTTTCTCAAACTAAAATTTGCTTTTTTACTGAGTTTCGTATGAATAAGCAATAACTCTATGCTTATAGTTGGGATGAGAAGGCTATTTGCTGATGTGTATGAACTGAACAAAATTCAAAAGAAAGTTATTGTATGTCTTAAGAAAACTAATATTTTGTTGAAATGAGCAACATCTGAGAATTAGTAGTCTAACAAAAGGATCATCTGTTCTTCTCTTTACTTTTTGTGAAAGTAACTTTCCTATGCAATCCAAGAATTATAAAGCTCTGTAAATTAGTTTGTTGATTTGCCACCATATTAACTGCTTTGAAATATGGAGAATTTTTTTTTTTTTCTTTTTTTTTGAGATTGATCAATAAATGACTATATTCAGTCAAAATTCCTCCCATGAAATGCGATTTGCAAACATGAAGTATGCCTTCTGTTTTGTCGACTCACGTCGGTGTGCACTTAGTGGAATCATTAATGCAGAAATTTGCGTATTTGTGGTTCAGATGTTGTTTCTTTGTTATGTTGTAGTCGCAATAGTCTAGGACTCATGCCCTCTAGCAGAGGCACAGTTGTTGGGCGGCTCTTGATACAGGTAGCTATGTGTTTTACCCAAATGTTTCTTGTTCTGAGGTTCTGATGAGTAAGATAGAGCTTCACATTCTACTACACATCATACATGCAGGAGGAAAACCAAGAAATAGTGGATTGTTCTTTACTTGGGCCTGCTGGTCAAGCTATCACTGGCAACTTGCACTTGTTAGAGAACTTTGTTTTCCAGTCCAATGCTCGTTACATATTCGTTATTGAAAAGGCACTTCCAACGCATTCCAGTATCAGTTCCTGGCAGTGCATTCTCTGATTGTGCTTTAAATGTACTTGACCTTGGAAAGTATACCAAATGCATCTTGCGTTATGGTATGGCATATACAGGAGGGGCATTCATTCCCAGTAGCCGATGGTGTAGATGAGCCTTACTTATGTTGAAGAACCGTTACTTAGTGCTACTGTTCATCTCAATTTACTTGTCTTATAACGGACAGTGGATGCCCAACCTGTCTACTCTATACCATGCAATGGATGTATATGGTTTGCTTCCCTTTGGCCTAAACTGTTTCTGCTGGATAGGATGCAATATTCCAGAGGCTGGCTGAAGACCGCATTTTTAATCATATTCCAAGCATTTTAGTGACTGCCAAAGGTTATCCAGATATTGCGACGAGGTAATGGACACATTGCTGACTTCAATCTGCTCTAGATCCATGCTTATATTGCTTAAACTCCAGTGTTGGTATTCGAAATATAACTTATGCTTCTCATATTTTGCTTATAATTATGAAATGTGTGAATCCGAGTCCGCTTCATCCAGATGTGAATACTATGTTAAGTATGTTACGATCCCTGCAAATCAGATCATTATTTCAATAAACAGTGAGTATGTGTGTATTCTGTGCTCATGAATTTCAATTTATGTATGTCTGTAAGCTAGATTTACGAGGGAAAGTTTGTAAAATTCAAATAAAATAGAAAAGTCTTTAAGAAAATAGATTAATAAAATCACTAAAAATTGGTCTTAAAGTTAAAAAACCATTAAAGTTAAGAAACCAATTATAGAAAAGAAGAAACAGAATTTCATGGTTTTCACTAGACTAAGTACAACTGAAAGTTTCTGTTTTTGACTAAGTAAACTAGCATTGCCCCTTTTGATTATCGGATCAAAACAAGCAGGGGATAGCATGTTGATTTGAAAAAAGTTGTAAATTTTTTTAAAATTTTTTAAGGTGAATTAATTCTATTTGTATGGTTTCCCACTCTCCCCTGGAAGAGTGAGAATTGGAAGAACAAAAATAATTATTTTTATTTTAATAAATATATTGTAGGAATTCATCTGCGCATCCTAGTTAATTAAGGCACATGTACAAATAACAATTTACTGAGGCATTGTCCTATGACTCACTAAACAGTAAATATAGTAAAAATACACCTCGTGCTGAGTCTGACTAAATGCTATATATATTGAAAATTGCTTGTAAATTGTGCCGTGGCTGCATGCAGGAGGCCTCAAGACGATCATCATAAACAGCAACTATGATTCCCTTGTGCAATATTCTTCCATTGCTGTTAGTGTAAATGCTAAATGTTATTATTACAATTGTAAGAGTCTTGTACCAAATGCCATTCACTGGATCTTGAATTTTTGTACTCAACAGAGTTGCTTCTGGATCTTGAAACCAGAACCTCTTAGGGGTGGGATTTCTGCCAAGGAACTGGGGCTTCCTAGGCATGCCAATTATGTGGACAATTTTTAAAGTACTACATCATGTTCTTGGGTGTGTTTAAGGTGCATCTACTGCTTCTGGTGTTTGTACAACTTAGTTCTTGAAACTTTTCCCATCTCAATGTAGACCATGTTCACTTTGACCAGACCATGTTAATACCATCAGGATCTCCACCTGGTGAAGTTTGCTATTAAGCAATTGGATCTGAAATACATCATGGGGTGACCGATCACTTGTACAACATTTGTTTTTTTGTGTGTTCACTACTTCTTGATATGCTTTCATCCTCAAGCATTTACCCACTGACTTCTTGTAACTGTAAAATAGATTGAATTGCATAAGAAGCTTTTCTGCACCTTTTACTTAAACAGATTGGAATGAAGGTAGAGTTATTTTCATTTAATTGATGCAACACAGGGTTTTTCTCCATCGCCTGAGCAAGATTTTTCCAACTCTCCCGATACTGGCACTGGTTGACTGGTGAGGATATGAACTGGCCTACCATAAATTTTCTATGTATAATTATCAGCTTGTCTTCATTTGATTGTATTTGTTACAATTTTCGAAAGGAATCCAGCTGGACTGGCTATACTGTGCACGTACAAATTTGGTAGCATAGGAATGGGTTTGGAGGCCTACAGATATGGTATTTAGCACCATTGCTATACTTAAATTTTTGAATTTACTTGTTATGTTTAAAAATGAAAGTTTAAATTACTGCCAAGCAAGGGCGGATCATTTTCATTGATCTTTCCTTCTTCCAGCTTGTGATGTGAAGTGGCTGGGTTTGCGAAGCGACGATCTTATGCTTGTTCCACAGGATTCAAAGGTGATGATGAAGACCAGGGACCTTCAGATAGCGAAGAGCCTAATGTCCTCAGATATGCTTCAGGTACTAAATGAAATTGGTCAAAAATTTAATAGTCTTAACAATGACATTCAAGGTTCCTTTTAGGTACTAATACATTTTGGGTTTGGCGTGAAGGACCACAAGTATAAGGAGGAACTGAGGGCAATGATTCAAGGAGGTCAAAGGGTAGAAATCGAAGCCCTCTATGCTCATGGATATGAGTTTTTGGGCAGATATATGGTGACAAAGGTGGTGCAAGATGATTATTTCTAAAGGTAGTTTGGCCAATCACTAAATTCTCTCCATCTTGATGTAGCTTTGTTGGTTCGCTAAATATTGTTCATGATGCAATGTACAGGCTTACGGTTGAAGAGCATTTCCAGTATTACTTTTCAATAAATAGCAGTGAGTTTAGAGCTCATTATACGAAGCCCGGCATTCTTATATGATAAAACTATTCTTGTGATCTCAGTGCTTCATGACCTGGTCAAGTCCAATGACATGGCCGTCACTGATTGTCTGAAAGCGTTTTTGTACAAACTATAAACTAAAATAAGTTTGTGCATTATTATGGTTGTATGGCCATGTTTGGCCAAAATACCTCACCAATACTATATGGCTTTCCAAGTGATATTGTTCCCTCGTTTAAAGTAAGCTGAAATATTTTGCACTACTTGAGCTAGTCTTTTCCCTCCCTCGAGTAAATTCTAATATAGGAGTGATTTTAGGACCTCAAATTTTTTAGTATGTATCCTCTTTAAACTAGCAACCAATGTTAAAAAAAACAAAGGGATTGTATACAATGAGACCTTTTACCTTTGATACAAGATGGTCACAATTATTTACAACCATCCGATATGAAGTTTTATGGCTTGGATGTGTCATAAAGTTCAGGAAAAATTATTTTAAAAGTTTGAGTTTGGTACATGGAATAATTGCAGTCACTCAATTTCACATCTAATGGCCTAGATTAATATGACCACCTTGTACTAAAGGTAAATGGGTTCATCTTATACTTTCCCAAAATCAAAACAAAAACCTAAAAAGAAAAAGAAAATGCACTCTCTATGAGCTTAAAATTGAGTGTAGACCGTCCAATTTCTTAATATCAGAAGGATTATCATCATCATAGCCTTTTCCTCATTAATTGGGGTCAGTTGCACAAAATTTGATCCACGTTCTGCTCTATTAAAGGTAATACCTTCAGTAAGGCCATAAGTTTCCATATCTTTTCGAAATATTTTCAACCATGTCCTTTTGGGCTCTACCCCTTACCCTTTTCAATCTTTGTATTTGAACTAATTCACACCTCTCAACAGGCATTATACTTGGCCAGCCTACTTAAATCTAGTCTCTCTCATCTCATCGCCTATTGGGGCAACACTTAAATTCGCCCGAATGGATTCATTTCGAATTCTATCATTTGTCTTGCTACTCAGTCATCTCAACATCCTCATCTCTGCTACATTTATTTTATGGGTATATTGTTTTTTGTCTACCCAACATTCCGCCCCATAAAGTAAAGTTGATCTTACAGTTGTCTTATAGAACTTGCTCTTCAACTTCATTGGTATGCGGCGATCACATAAAAATCTAGTTACAAATCTTCACTTCGCCTACCCAACTTTAATTTTGTGTGTGACATCTTCTTCAATCTCTCCATTTTTCTGGATTATCGCCTCAAGATATCGAATGGGCAATATTTTTATACTTATTAACTGTCAATATTAACTACTTCCTTGTCTCTAATCCTATTATTACTAAACTTGCATTCCATATACTATGTCTTTGTCCTGCTAATTTTAAAATATATGGATTTTAGAGCATCCCTCCAAAGTTCTAACTTTATGTTGACATCGTTTCAGATCTTATTGATCAAAACTATGTCATATGCAAACAACATGCACCACGGTACTTCATCATGTAGGTGTCTAGTTAAGTCGTCTATAACTAAGATAAAGAGGTAGATGCTCAATGTTGACCATTGATGTAGACCTATTGTCATTGATAACTCGTTTATCTATCCACTAATTATTCGTACGCTAGGTGTTCCATCGTACATATCTCTCATCAAGTCGATCAAACCGTAGAAATTTTATATCAAAATTAAATCTTTCATAGTCAAACTTCAGTCAATTTCCAAATTGAAAAAAAAAAGAGGCAATGGCATAAACAACCATGTTCTTGATACGGGCCCCAGATCTTGGTTTCACGTGTCATTGGCCAACTGGCCTCAATAGATAAGTTATTTCTATTTCTTTCTCTTTGTTTTTCAGTTCATCTTTAGATCCATTCACAATAGTTTTCGAAGTGTTTAGGCATTAAAAAATCACCTGGCACTGCTAGCAATCTAAGGAAGAAACTGAACTCCCAAGATTAGGCTTCTCTTCTTTAAATTGCAATATAAGGAAGAAACTGAACTCCCAAGATTAGCCCAATTTAATCTTGAAATGTATACTAATTTCAATGAAAAACCTAAAGTATTTAAAATAATGTTAATTAAATTAAGTATGGGTGTGGTTTCTATAAGGATGCAACCCTAAACAATCCAATTAAGGTGCACCTTAAAATTTTGTCATAACATGTAATTTTGTTATAAAAAATTATTGGTATTATCTTAAAATCTATTTTCATACCTAATTAAAAAATTTTAAATTCCAAAAATGGTTAAAATCAAGTAGATCTACAAATATACGAAAATCTTGAAAATGGACAGTCCAGATAATGTGTTGCACGATGCACTATTTCCGGGACTCAAAAAATCTTTTTTTTCATATTCATACATCTCAATGTCGAGATGATCGATTAGAGGGTAATATTTTTGATAGATTTTTGAGGTGCATATGTAATTGTTGGAACCTAATATAAACTTTTCCCATTAAGTATTTAAAACCCTACAACTTTTACGGGCATGGACCAACCCAAGATTAGGCTTCTCTTCTTTAGGTTGTTGTCACACCCAGAGATGTGACAGACAAAACATATATACATCTATTGATAGAACAAATTTACAGTGGCGAGGTCTTACAAAGTAACAAAAGAAAGTTTAAGCAAAACTACAATATCTTCTCAAAGTTGATCTTGACGAGGACACAAATGAAACCGCAGTTATCCTGAAAAATGTTTACCATTGTTTGATGAGTTTGGCTACTCAGTAAGTGATTATCATAATCCTAAAAATAATCATTGTTGAAAGATATCAATATTTTCAAAAAGAAGATCTCTTAACAGAAATGCATCAACAGTTTCACTTTCAATAAATGCATAATTAAGTATAATCCGAATAATTGAAATGCACATAACACTTTAACGCGTCAATGCATAATTCAAAGGATTTCACAAAATACTCTACTGGCGTCTCAAGTAGGTCACCTATATACCCCATCAGCGTCCTGATGGGTCCACTTAATCCCTATCGACGTCCCAGATAGGTCCACTTAATCCCTGCAGGTCCATTTATACCTCACCGACGTACCGGATCAGTCCACTTAATCCCTACCTGCGTCCCAGATAGGTCTACTTATACCTCACCGGCGAACCAGATGAGTCCACTTGCATACTTAAATTATTTCTAAATCTCTTTAAACATTCGAAAGCAGCAATATCATGTACTCAACATATCACTGAAATCATTAATATGAATTTCACTTAAACCATTAATAACAGTCACTCTCTATAACATTTCAAAAATAACCAATCAAATATTTTAGGCTCAAATTAAGAAAGGTAGCAGTTTGTAAAGGCATTCTAGCATAATTGCCAATTTAATGTGTATAGAAAAACTCTTATAAAAATTCAAGAATACGGAATTATCACAATTTATGGGATATCAATCCACAAATAAACATTTCACAATAATACTATAATCAATTGCAAAAATTCCAATTTTTAAATAATAAGGCAGTCATTTGCACATGAATTTTACAATGTCTAAATATTCAAAACAGTAGAAAGGAATATCACAATTTTACTAAAAGCAGAAATATCATATTTATTTCTAACAATAGACAAGAAAAATAAATAAATTTATTTTTCATAATTTACAGCATTCAAAATTTCTAACATAGATAAAATATCACAATTTTTATTAAAAAGATTATTTTTCAAGATAATGAGGTCACGTGCGCATTAAATATATCGCGCCTAAAATTCATGATAATAAGCAGAAATAATTATTTCATTTCATTTTTAAAAAGAATGGATTATTTTTCGAGGCAATGAAGTCACTTACAAACAAAACTTATAAAATAAAGATCCTGGACAGAAATATCACTATTTATTAAAAACAGACTATTTTTCAGGAAGATGATGTCACTTACCTAAAATATTTGAGAGAGAGCTTCCGATAAAAATTCGGCTAAGGAGAGGAGCTCACTGTGTTTCGACCAGAAAGGGAAAGATTTAAGAAGTTTTCTAGGGTGGGAGTCCTCCCCTCTCGTATTTAAACTCTTACGACACCTTATTATAATATTTTATTAAGTGACACCTCATAAACGAGGTGTAACCGTTACAATACCCCTTATATGCTTAAAGCCCACGTCCACTTGACGTGGCAAGGCAGGAGCAAACAAAAGAAACTTAACCAAAAGATTTTGAAAATAGTGATGGTCCCTAAGGACCATCATGCTCATATAGACCATTACTTATTAAGAGTTTCTTTCCTTCTTTTTTATTTTTATTTTTTATTTTTTACTTTTTTTTTAAAAAGTTTAGAATTATTACATTCTTCCCCCCTTAAAGAAATTTAGTCCTCTAAATTTGTGTACCTGATTACTGAAAAAGATAGGGATATTTTTTTTTCTTTTTTCCTCATATTATTTCAACTTCATTATTATTTTAAGTACATTTTTTT